GGGGGGCCTGACGGCGCCTACGCGAGTCACGCTGTGGATTTTGGAGCCCCTGGGGCCCTCTGGGCCCCGTGAGGGGTGCTCTGGAAGCCGTGGGGACCTCCTTGGACATCCTGGAGGCACCTTTGGCCTGGGGCACTTCGAGCAGCACCCCACGGGGGGGTGGGCGGGGCCGGTCACGGGCGTGCTGGCGCATCCTGGGATGGCGCCGTGCGGCGCTGCGGCGGGCGCGCTGCGGCGCGCGACGGTCGCGGAGCAAGCGCGCGCTGCGGCGGGCAATGGCGGCAGGCCCCCCCTGGCGCGCGGAGCGGCGGCGGGTGGGGCCGCAGGCGCGCCTCGGGGCGGGCCGGCACTGGGCGGGCCTCGGGGCGGGCCGGCTGGGCGGGCGCGGGCCCACGGCGCGCGCGGGCCCACGGCGCGCGCGGGCCGTGGCGTGGGCGGCGGGTCCCGGTGGGCGGCGGGTCGCGGGGCGGGTCGCGGGCGTGCCGGGCAGGTCGCGGGGCAGGTGGGGCGAGTGGCGGGGTGGATCGCGGTGCGGTTCGCGCGCGGGCCCCTTCGTGGGGGTGTGTCGTGGGCCCATGGCGAGGAGAGCAGCGGCACGAGCCAGAAGCCGCAGCTCGCAGCGCCGAGGGGCAGTCTAAGGCTGCCCGGGCCCCTCACTCCGATTGCCGTCGTGCCTCCCAAGCCGCCTGGTCCTTGGGCTGGGTCCCCAGTCTGATGAGCATGGCACAGCTGCTCCTCGCCTTCTCCTTCTCCTCCCTCCTCCCCTCCTCGCAGCCGCCTCCCGCCTCCCCAATTCCTCGCCGCCTGCACGGTCGCTCTTCGCTTTCTTTTCGCTTCTCCCTCGCTTCCCCTCCCTGGGCGCTTCCAACTGCGCAACGGTCGGCACCTTCGTGAGCTCCTGGGAGGCCCAGCGGAGTGACGCGCAGACCTCAAGCACTGCGTGCCTCACTGGGCGATGCTGACTCCGCAACCGTCGGCACTTTCGCGAGCTCCTGGGAGGTGCAGCGGAGCCACGAGCTACGCAGGTCGGAACCAGACCTCCCCCCCAGGGGCGATGCCAAGTGCCCGGCTATCGGCTCCTTCGTGAGCTGAGAAGGTGTGGTGACCCTCACCTCCCTGGGCGCTGCCAGCTGACAAGCCGTCGGCACTTCGGAGTGACGCGCTACGCAGCCTGGCGCTGCCAGCTGCTCAGCTGTCGACACTTTCGTGAGGTTCTGGCAGGTCCCGTAGAGTGATGCGCCGCACATTTCCCAACTACATTCGAGTTTGATTAGTGGGTCGATCCTGCAATGGCAATGTGGCCCTCAGAAGGGTCTGGAGTCCTCTCGCATGCCCTCTCTAGTCAAACTCGACCGTAAACCTGACCTTCCTGGGCGCTGCCAGCGGTCCTGGCATGCATCAGAAGGCGCCAGAAGGCCATGGGCACCATGGCATGTGTTATCGCGATGCGCTTGGGCGTGGGGTGGTCGCGCGGTCAGCAACCGTCCCTCCCCATTCGCTGGTGAGCGGTGCTTCCCAGAATCGCTGTGTTCCAGCAATCGGGGAAGATTGGCCGTTGCCGTTTCCCATCCTCCTCGTGTCCTGCCTTCCCCTCGCACCCCCGTCTCCGCACAACAGCCGTGTGGGTGAAGCTTTTCACAGGCCATCCTGGGCCTGCTTAGATCTGTGAGGTTGTCGTCCCGCGCTTTTCTGAGCACATCAGCTGGCTCCAAATCGACAACTTCACGGTGCCATCGCATGCCATAGCTACATGTAGATCACCGCGCGTATGCACTTCTGGAGTCTACTGGAAGCCGGGAGCAGCAGCCTGGTGCCCCCTCCCCTTCCGCAAGGGGGCTTGTGGCCTTACCAGGCAAGCCAAGCAGACGCATGGAGATGGAGATAGAGAGCGAGACAAAGAGAGATGGAGAGAGGAACACATACAACGAGAACGATACATAGAGAGAGAGAGAGAGAGAAAGAGAGAAAGAGAGAGAGAGAGAGAGAGAAAGAGACAGAGAGAGAGAAAGAGAGAGAGAGAGAGAAAGAGAGAGAGAGAGGGAGGGAGAGGAGAGAGAGGTGGTTCGAACAACAGACGAGCATAATCATGTATAGCATGGCAGTGTTGTGCACCATCACTGGTCCAGTGGAGAACGTAGCTGTAGTGTATACCAAGGCAGCTGCAGCAACGAGCATCCGTATTATGTTTGGCGCTTCGCGTGTCCCCAGCCAGCCCATGCAGCAATGATACTTGCACCAATTGTCGTGAGAAGAAACAATAGTGGCGTAGTGTGCATGCACAGAGTGGTGGCGCTGGTTAAGCCGAGGCTTGGGTCAGCCCGAACAGCCTCCCACAGTGCCTCCTGGCAGCTCTCAGAGCCAGGTTGCGATCCCCTTGGTGCCATCTCGTGAGCTTTTGGTCCCTGCCTCGTGCTGTGACCTGGCGTCCATTCTGCTTCATTTCTCGCTCCCTCTCGTTCTCTCTCTGCCTCTCCCTTTCCTCAGGGCTGCACTTGTGGTCATGTGACGTAAGTGGCTGTTTTGGCCGCAGGGGATCTCCGCGCAGCACCCTGGCCCCTTGTTCTTCCCCTCCTCCTCCTCCTCCTCCTCCTCCTCCTCCACCTCCTCCTCCCCCCCCTCCTCCTCCTCCTCCTCCTCCTTCTCCTCCTCCTCCTCCTCCTCCTCCATTCGGTTTCCTAAAAAAGATAACTCCTCCCTGTCGCACCGGTCGAAAGGGCGAGCCGGGCGTTTCGCCTGGGCTCCCGAAACTTACACATTGGCAACAGCTTCACATATGGATGGAGGGCGGGCCGCTTCCAAAATGTGACTCTCGCCCTAGCGCCGCGCACACTCGTTTTCAACAATTGTGAGAGTTTCATGGATATAGGGCGGGTGGTTTGCAAAACGTGGCTTTCGCGTCAGCGCTGCGCACATTTGTTTAGTTTTCAAAATGTGGCTCTTGACTAAGCGCCGCGTACATTCGTTTAATTTAGCCTGGCGACGGACCCAACCATATGCACTTGTGAGTGCTGTCGTTGTGAGTTTGGGGCCTCGAGGCGAGTGAAAGGTGTGCCAGAATGTGGCGGGGCCGCCATGCGGGCACTTCCACTGGGGCCTTCGAGTTTCGCGAGAGAACTAAACTGAAGGACTGGGGGCCAGCAACAGGGGCCACTGGGACCTTCCGTGGAGCACCCTGTGGAGCCACGAAACGTGTGCGAGATTCGCCATAATAGGGGGTGGAATCGCACGTGGGCGCTGCCACTGGGGCCTTAGGTGGAGCTCCCCATGGGGCCACGAAGCGTGTGAGAGGTGTGCCGAAATGGGGGGTGGGACTGCATGCGGGCGCTGCCACTGGGGCCATCGGTGAAGCTTCCTATTTTACCACGAAGCGTGTCAGGGGTGCACCGAAATGGAGGGTGGAATCGTATACGGGCGCTGCCACTGTGGCCTTCGGAGGGGCCTCCTGTGTGGCCACGAGACGTGTGACGGGTTGTGCCGACATGGGGGTGGAACTGCATGCGGGCGCTGCCCCTTGTGCCTTGGGTGGAGCTCCGTATGGGGCCACTACACGTGTAAGGGGTGAAACGAAATGGAGGGTGGGATCACATGAGGGCGCTGCCACCGGGGCCTTCGGTGGAGCTCCCTATGGCGCAACGAAGCGTTTGATGGGTACATCGAAATGAGGGGTGTAACTGCATGCGGGCGCTGCCACTGGGGCCTTCGGTGGAGCTCCGTATGGGGCCAAGAGACGTGTGAGCGGTGCACCGAAATGGGGGTGGAACTGCATGCGGGCGCTGCCACTGGGGCCTTCGGTGAATCTCCCTATGCGACCACGGAACGTGCGAAGGTTGTGCCGAAATGGAGAGTGAAACTGCATGTGGGCGCTGCCACTGGGTTCCTCGGTGGAGCTCCAATGGGGCAACGGCACGTTTGAGGGGTGCACCGACATTGAGGGATGATCCGCATGCGGGGGCTGTCAGTGGGGACTTCGGTGGAGCACCCTGTTGGGCCATGAAACGTGTGCAAGGTGCACCGACATGGGGTTGGAACTGCATGCGGGCGCTTTTACTGGGGTCTTGGGTGGAGCTCCCTATGAGGCCGCGAAGCGTGCGAGGGGTGTGTCGAAGTGGCCATGCGGGGTGTGCCGAAACAGACACATGCGGAGGGCAACGGCAGGGATGGGAGGAGGGAGGAACGGGAGAAGGAGAGGAGACTATGAACGAGGTCCCAACACCACAGGATAGATAGTTGGGGAAACCATGCAAGAGTTCTGGCCTTAGCGCCGCGCGCAGTCGCGTGAAAGATTTGTAAGAGTTTCGTGGGTTCTCATGGTTTACGTTCCAGAAGTGGTACTATGGAACGGTTCAGGGTTGTGAGGGCGCAATAGTTACATTGAGTCGCGGTGTCTAAGCCCTAGGAATGAGGTGCTGGCACGGTTCAGGATCGCCAGTACGCAACAGTCAGGTCGATTCGTGGCTTTAAAGTCCCGGAGATGGTGTTTGGCACGCTTCAGGATCTTCAAACGGTTGTCTCCCAACGGGAAACTTCCTTCAGTGGGAATGAATCCGTATATGGGGCCGATGGTTTATTGTCGAGTCTTGGGTTTACACTGGTGCACCTCCCTCTCCTCCTCCTCCTCCTCCTCCTCCGCCTCCTCCTCCTCCTCCTCCTCCGTAAGCTTGCGGTGCTCGTGGGCAGCAGCGTTGCGGTTGATGCTGGCCACTTTTTTGGGCTGTTGAGAGCAGCGTATGGATGTGAGTTGCGGGATGAGTGTTCGCGGTGAAAAACCAATACGAGCTTATGGCCCGCAGGAGGCATCTGCACACCACCATGCCTGGCCAGGGCCATCTTGGGACCTGGGATGGTGCATGCCCCCCCCCCCCTGGCCTCGGCCAAGAGGGCGTATGCACCATGCCAGGGCCCATGCTGGCCTTGGCCGGGTATAGTGGTGGTGCGCCGATGCCCTCGGCCCCGTTTGGCTTTGACGCCCGCGCGCCGAGGTGCGCTCCTCAAGGTGTGCGCACTGTGTGCACCCCACGCCACCCTACGAGCACGACCACAGCAAGAGCTACTCCAAGAACGGGACCATTGCGAAGCACGTCTTCGGGCCGGGCCCCCAGACGGCTGATCCGCTCCCCCCCTGCTACTCGTCCTTCAACCTCCGTGGAACTCCCAACGACCCGTCTGAGCTCTTCAAACGCCCATAGGGCACCCTGTAAACCTTTTTCTTCTTTTCTTCCAGTCTCTTTCTCCTCGTTCTCTGGTATCTCCCGTCTTCTCCCCCTTCCTGTTCCAAAGCACGAGAGCACGGAGGCCGCCCTGACTGACCGCATCCCCAGAGAGGATGACCCCCTGGCCATGGCCGACGACATGTAATCACGAGCTCAGGTACCAGGCGGCATCAGTGGCGGTGGCCATAATGCTCGAAAGGGGTGGCCTTCGCGACATCGGAACCCTTGTTACCATCTCTCCATGCCGCGTCCTGTGCCTCCGGGCACGAGTTCCAATCCTCCGAGGTAAACATTTACCAAGCCGGCTGTGGAGTTGACGGCCTGCGTTTTTTTCCATCCTCTCGGACTGGCGGCCTCACAACCTGCACTCCCCACCTTGGCGCTTCTGAGTGCAGGCTGCTCGCGCCTGCTCTAGGTTATTCCACCTTGGCACCCGTTCGCAGTGGGTCAAACTATCATTGAAGTACGCTCGCCAAATCGACGTCCCGCTCCCAGCGATCAACGTAGTTATTGCCATTCATTCACAACTGCGGCGGCTCCCCGTCCGCAGTGGTCAACATCGAGTTTCTACGCATTCACTGCCACCATGACGGCTCTCGTTCACTATGTAGGCTGCCTGCGCGTTTCATCGAGACGACCTCATAGAGGGCTGACGCGGAGGGATCAGGGAAGCTCTCTGCCCGCAGGGGTCGAACTCAAACATGGGCCCTCCGATGCTGCGCATGTCGTGAAACAAATAGCCAGGCGACGGGCCCAACCGTATGCGGTTGTGGGTCTCGGCACTGTGAGTATTGCCAGCGGCGGATCTTCCTATGGGGCCGCGAGGCGCGTGAAGGTTGTGCCGAAATGTGGCGGGACCGCCATGCGGGCGCTGCCACCGGAGCCGTCGGTGGGGCTCGCTATGGGCCCACGACACCTGTGAGGGGTTCGCGCACATGGAAGATCCGCGTGCGGGCGCCGCCACTGGGGCCTTAGGTGGAGCTCCGTATGGGGCCACGAAGCGTGTGAGGGGTATGCCGAAATAGGGGGTGGGACTGCATGGGGGCGCTGCCACTGGGGCCCCTGGTGGAGCTCCCTACTTACGCAGGACGAAAGATTTTCCTCTTGAGGTGCAAATGGCGATTCTGAGTTGGAAGTGAATGTGGCCGAACCCCCCTTCCCCGTATAATCTTAACACGGGCGGGTTCAGGGTCCTCGGATCCGATTTCTTCTGGTTCCCCGTTTTAGGTTTAAACCTTACATTTGAAACAGGGTCGAAATCGAATCCGCCGTAGAAAATAAGACCGAACATAGACATCGAAACCGCCGTAAAAAGTAAGACCGAACACGGATCCAGCAAATCCGAGATCGGATCCGCGCGGACGGAAATCGGATCCACCGAAGCAAACGCCAAAGTCACAATTGGATCCGCGCGAATTTCACGGGATCCGACGGCGGTTATCTCATGCGCGTCTGCTTGAGGCTTCAAGCCGTCTTTCCAGGCCCAAGAGGAAAAAACTGTCGTCCTGGGGATGTATGGGGCCACGAAGCGTGTCAGGGGTGCACCGAAATGAAGGTGGAACTGCATGCGGGCGCTGCCACTGCGGCCTTCGGTGCAGCACCCTGTAGAGCCACGAAGCATGTGAGCGGTGTGTCGAAATGGAGGGTGGAACTGCATGTGGGCGCTGCCACTGGGGCCTTCGGTGGGGCTCCCTATGGGCCCACGAAGCGTGTCAAAGGTTGTGCTGGAGTGGGGGTGGAACTGTATGCGAGCGCTGCCACTGGGGCCTTCGGTGGAGCTCCCCCTGGGCCCACGAAACGTGCGAGCTGTGCACCGAAATTGAGGGAGGATCCGCATGCGGGCACTGCCACTGGGGTATTCGGTGGAGCTCCCTTTGGGGCCACGAAGCGTGTCAGAGGTGCACCGAAATTGGGGTGGAACTGCATGCGGGCACTGCCACTGTGGCCTTCTGTGGAGCTTCTTATGGGGCAACGAAACGTGTAATGGGTGTGCGATATGGAAGATGGAACTGCATGTGGGCGCTGCCTCATGGGCTTAGGTGGAGCTCCCTATGGGGCCACGAAGCGTGTGAGTGGAACTCCGAAGTGGAGGGTGGAACTTCACCGGGGTGCTGCCACTGGGGCCTTAGGTGGAGCTCCCTTTGGAGCCACGAAGCGTGCGAGTGGCACACCGAAATGGAGGGTGGAACTGCATGGGGGCGCTGCCACTGGGGCCCTCGGTGGAGCTCCCTAGCTCCCTATGGGGCCACGAAACGTGTGAAGGGTGTGGCGAAATTGGGGTGGAACCGCATGCGGGCGCTGCTTCTGGGACCTTCGGTGGAGCTCCCTATGGGGCCACGAAGCGTGTGAGGGGTGCACCAAAATTGGGGTGGAACTGCATGCGGGCGTTGCTAGTGAGGCCTTCGGTGGGGCTCCCTATAGGGTCACGAAGCGCTGTGCTTGGTGCGGAGGGCAGATGCAGGGATGGGAGGATGGGGAGGAGGGGGCAGCGGGAGGAGGAACGCGGAGCGCTGTCTCTTCAAAACTAGAACCCAACACCACAGGATGGTTGGGAACAAAGGAAAGTGATTTTGCTTGGCGCTTATCTCGCGCACGCGCGTGTGCACTTAACACCGTTCGATCCATTTACGACCACAGCTCCGTTTGGAGATGAAGAGTATGGTGACCAGCTGCTAAGAGCCTGCATGTTCCATCGTGGCCTGCTTTCATGCCGGTCCCCACTTGCGTGAGTTGCGCCCTTCGATCTGTGTCGTCATTTTCCCCAACGGCTTGCGATGGTGCCGCAATCACGCAGTGCCTCATCCGACATTGGCAGCGGCGCGACGTGCAAGAAGAAACACGTGGCGGCCGCCGAAGCGAGCTCTGCACAAGTTCTCCTTGACGATGGGTTGCAGCGGATTTTGTGGGAGTTGAATATGCCCTCAAGGGATCCATGATGGATGGAGTACCGCTGTGCGACGGCTGGCAAAGTTATGGCGCGCGAGTATGATTCCTCCTATCCGTACGTGCTTTTCGCCGTCAACTCCGGCATTTCCATGGGTGGCCGCGTGAATGTTGGCAACGCTGAGTTTAGCGGCGCCCAGCGGGTGTTCGACACCGGCAGTTTCTTTGCGCTCGTCTTCTTCTCCTGCGCTCTTGCCCTCTTTTCGCTCATCCTCTGCCTTGTACCGCTCCTGCTCGGTCCCATTCTTCTCATCTCTCTCTCTTTCTCTTTGTAGCCCCCCCGGCCCCAGGTCCCACACCTCCCCGTGTCCCGTGACGGCCCGAAGAGGCCCAAATCGTAGATTTTCATTGGTTTTTGTTTCAATGTTTTTGGCTTCTCGCATTTTCGAGCTTCCAATGGTTTAAGAGCGCCGAAGAGGCTCCCAAGATCGCCCCAAGACCACCCAAGAGACCCTCAGGACGGCCCCAAGACGGGCCAAGAAGCAAGATCGCCGAAAAGGCGCCCAGGACAGCCCCAGACCACCCCAGAACAGGCCCAAGATGGGGCCAAGAGCGGGAGCAGGAGGCTTCCAGAGACCTCCGAGTGGCCTCCGGGACCACCCAGAGGCCCCCAACACACCAACGATCCCTGAGATGCCCCAAAAGACCCCGACGAGGCTCCAAGAACAGCCCAAGAGAGCTGCGAGAGCCGTCCCGAGAGAGCCCAAAGAGGCTAACATCGTTGATATCCATATGTTTTTTTTTTCCAATGTTTTTCGCCTTCTCACGTTTTCCCGCTTCCAACCCTCAAAGATCGAGGATTTGAACCAAAAGAGGATTCCAAGTTATTTTTTGATGGAACTCCTACTCGGGGGTCCCACACATCCCCTGACATCTGGCCGGTACCGCGCCTCCCGGCTTCCCGGGGGGCTCCCAAGACGCCCAAGGACAGCCCAAGACGACCCTAAGGAGCCCCCAGAACGTAAAGAACGGCCCAACACGCTCCCGCGCAGCCCGAGACACCCTTTCGACGGCTCTCCAGGCCTCCAGGAGGCCTTCAGAACCCCCAGGGGGTCCGGAAGATCCCGCACCCCTGAGGGGCCCGGCTTACAAAACCCGCGAGGCACAAACAAAAAACAGCGCCGAACTGCGCCGAGGAATTGGAACAAAAAAGGGAATCCCACAATTCCTTTTTTTTTATTTTCAAATTTGGCCCTTGGTCTACTCTTGCACTCAATTCAGACCCCCCTCACCTCCCCAAAAAGAACACAGGAAGCTTTTGAGAGCCCCAAAGAGATTTTTTAACTGCTTGGGGCATGACGGGCGTCATGGCCCCCGCGCCCCCCCCCCTATGACGTAACGCTCCCCCCCCCAGTGCGCTCCGGGCACTGCCGCCGTGCGTATTGGGATCCGCGTAGGTGTCCGCGTAGAAATCCGCATAAAAAACTGGTCCGCAGTCGTCGTCTCCGTCGTCGGCGTCGTCGTCGTCGTCGTCGTCGTCGTCGTCGTCGCTCGTGGCTCGTGGCTCGTGGCTCGTCGCTCGTCGCTCATCGTCGTCGTGCGCGCGGACGCGGCTGGAGCCAGTTTTTTTTTAATTCCGGGACGATGACGGCAATCATCTGGGGGGGGTGGGGGGGGTCTATGACGTCACGCTTCGCGCCGGCGGCGCCTGGGAATGCCTAGGAGTGACGGAGGACGGGTGGCACCAACGTGTAGGTGGCGATCTGCACCACAACGCCTGTGTGCACCTCAGTGCCTACGTGCACCACAGCGCCTGTGTACACCACACCGCCTGTGTTACACCATAGCAGCCGCGTGCAACACAGCGTCAGTTTGTGCCACCGCGCGCGCGGGCACAACAGCTCTTGTGTACACCACAGCGCCTGCGTACACCACATCAGCCGTGTGCAACACAGCACTGTACACCACAATGCCTGCGTGCATTGCAGTGCCT